CAGGGGGGGCTGATGGGAACTTTGGCCATGGTCTGGCAGGTGCGGGTGACGCTAGCGGAGTCAGCGCAGCTGGAGCTGTTGGCGAGTGCGGAGGGGACATACAGCAGCTGCGTGTGCGTGGATGAAGGGAGGACATTCCAGTGGGGCGTGAGAGCAACCAGCCTGGGTACGGGGTGCTGGGACCACACTAGGACCCACTTGCCCTGCTGTTTGGGGATCCTCTCGGAGGATGGAGTGGGCAGGGAGGATGAAGGGAGAAGCAATGCCATCTTCGAAATGCACCTTCACTCCACTTTTACCTTCCCCATTTCCTTCCCTCCTTCACCTATCCCCCAGCAATGCTCCTTTCCCTGGTCCCCTCCATCCCTACCCAGGCAGCCCCTGGGCTATGTTGGGGGGCTCCATCAGGATTGGGTGCCCTGTGTGTGCAGGGGAGGTGAATGTCACCGTCAGCACTGAGGCCCTGCACTCCGAGGAGCTCTGCGGCAATGAGGATCCCCTGGTGCCCATCCAGGGGCATGTGGACACCATGATAAAGCCTTTGCTGGTGCAGGTTAGCTAGGTCAAGGGTGCTTTGGTTGTGGAGCCAAGGAGTAACAGTAGCCCAGTGGGTCCTTCACAGGGCTGAGGCTAATCTGAGTGTCGTCTCCTCCCAGTTCTTCATTCATGATGCTAACACCTCTCTGCCTCACACTGCCCTGGCCCAGTGAAGCCAGGGAGGATTGTGGAGGAGAAAGAGGATGATGGGTTTGGGGACAGGGATGCAGCTGATTTGGATAAGGGGTAAGAGGGGACTGAGGGGAGTGGAGGGAGTAGGGCAGAGCAGCATGAAGCCCTGAGATGTGCTGGGCTCTGAGAAACCCTCAGGGAGTAGTGGGAGTACCACTGCAGGGCCGTGGGAGCAGGGCAGTGCCTGATACCCAAGTGCAGGCTGCAGGCATGGCCCTGAGTGGTGGGGGTATATTGACCAGTCCCTCCTCCTGATGAGCCCTCTGATGCTGCTTTCCCACAGCCTGAGGGGATCCTGGAGGAGAAGGCATACAGCTCCCTGCTCTGTCAGGAAGGTAGGACTGGCCAGTGGTGTCTGGCACTGCTGTGAGGATTTGGGACAGGGACACTTGGCAACTGGGTGCCCTATAGCAGCTGTGAGGGCCATCAGGGCAGGGTCCTTAGGTGATCTCAGCTGAGATGCCCCATCCCCATCCTTGAGCACATGGAGAAGTGGAGGGATGGAGCAGGGCTATGGCAGGTGATAGTCCCATGGGTCAGGCCTGGAGGAGCTGGTCATTCCCAGTTGTCATTTCCCTCTGTTCCTGCAGCCTCTGAAGAAATCTCCCTGGCGATTCCTGAAAACATCTTAGTGGGTCCCCAGTGAGCCCAAGTCACTGTGATGGGAAAGGAACAGGCAGAGGCCTGGGGATTGTGTGGGGCAGGAAGGCTGGAGAGCTGCCTGGGCACCCTAACACCTCTGAGGAAGGACACGGCAGATTCCTGGGGCAGGTGGATGCCAGTGCCCACAAGGGACCCTTTGGTGTCAGCAGTGCTCTGGCCTGTCCTCCCAGCACCCCAGGTCCCCCAAGGTCCATCCTTGGCAAGGGTTGGGAATGCCCAGAGCAGAGATGGGATGGGATATGGGGCACGGGGCGAGGAAGGAGGGGTACAGCTGGTAAGGTTGTCTCCCACTTCTCCTGGGACAGGTGACATCCTGGGTAATGCACTACAGAACCTGGACCATCTCCTGGCCATGCCCTACGGCTGTGGAGAGCAGAACATGGTCCGCTTCACTCCTAACATCTACATCCAGCACTACCTGGAGAAGAGTGGGCAGCTGCGCCCAGACATCCAGGCCAAGGCTCAGGGCTTCCTGCAGAGCGGTGAGAGTCCTCAGCCCCTCTCCTCACCCTGGAGTCACCTGGAAAGCCTTGTCCTACCCTGCCTTACTGGCAAGGGCCACCATTGCCCCATATCTTCCTCTCTGTTTTCTAAATGCCCCCCGAGGTCGGTCTGGTTTCCAGGCTCGTAACTGTCACTTAAAGATTCATCCCCTGTCTCCTCCCTGCAGGGTACAAGCATGATGATGACTCTTACAGTGCCTTTGAGAAGACTGATCCCAAAGGCAAAACCTGGTGAGGGGTTGCATGGTGCAGCTGTCACCCAGGCAATGGGCTTTTCCTGCCAGCCATGCCTCGAGCGCTGGCACATCCCTTCAGGGACCAGCCTTGCCTTGGGGGCTTTTCCTGCCCCCATGGCTCTGCCTAGGCTCCAAACATACCCCAGATCCATGCTCCTGCCCTGGGCTCCCACCTCCTCTGACCTCCCACTCATTCACAGGGTGACAGCTTTTGTCCTCAAGTCCTTTGGCCAGGCCAGAGCCTACATAGCCATCACCGAGCAGCACACTGGGAACGCACTGCGCTGGCTGCAGAAGCAGCAGTGGAACACGGGCTGCTTCCAGAGCGTGGGGAAGCTCTTTAACAACACCTTGCAGGTGGGTAAGGGGTGGACATGCAGCCCCCGCTTGGGACCAACTCCTGGGGACCTGATGGAGCTGTGGCCTGAGATAGGAGTGAGTCCCCGTGCCAGTGGCACAGCCCAGTTGGACCCATCTCTTGTTGTCCCCCTCGCAGGGCAGTGTCTCGGATGCGCTCTCACTGTCAGCTTACGTCATGGCGGCACTGCTGGAGCTGGGCCTGCCCCCCATGGTGAGGACAACCTGGGTCTTCCCTGGCAGTTGGTGAAATGGGGATGGGCATGGGGCAGCCCCGTGCCAGGGTATGCCTGTGTAGGGCTGTGCAGGGAGGCTGCTCCCAGCTGGACCGAGGTATAACTGGTCTCAGTGGGCAGAAGTCCCAAACTGGGCTACCAGGGCCCCCAAGCAATGGCCATGAGCTAGTCCCTGATGCTGACTCTCCTTGGTGTCCCCTGTGCCATGCCAGGACCCCATTGTGAGCAAGGCCCTCCGATGCCTGGAGGCATCAAGCACAGATGGCCTCTACACGCAGGCACTGCTGGCCTACGTCTTTGGGCTGGCAGGGACCACGGGCCAGTGGCAAGCCCTGCTGCAGAACCTGGCCCAGCATGCGGTCAGCACAGGTACCACTAGGGAAGGGGCAAGGCAGGGCTGGAAGGGCAGCTTCTGCCCCCAGGCAGTACCGTCCTCTGCCCTGAGCCATCCTGTGCCAGCAGGAGCCTTGTGGTGAAACTCCTGTGTGTTGAGCCCACACCTGGAGCTGTGGGGCTGCCCTCCATCCTCTTCTCTCCTAGAGGGGGGAGCTATACTGGCAGAGGAAGGTCAAGGCACTGCCTGGCTCGCAGCTTTGCTGGGCAGCGGTTGCACCGGCAGAGGTGGAGATAACCGCCTACGTTCTCCTGGCCTACCTGTCCCAGCCCCAAATGTCCTCTGCCCACCTAGCGAATACCTCCTGCATCATCCGCCAGCTCAGCAAGCAGCAAAACCCCTATGGGGGCTTCACCTCCACACAGCTACTGAGGCCAGGGGCCTGGAGGGCCATAGGGCTGCAGCTGCTCCAGGGATACTCCTGTGTCTTGCAGCAGCCTGCGATTTGGGGTGACACCGACTCTATGTGTCTCCTTCCCCAGGACACTGTGGTGGCCCTACAAGCTCTGGCCAAATATGCCACCTTGACATACAGTGGCAACAGGGAGTTGGTGGTGACAGTGAGGTCGACAACAGGTGCTGCACAGGAGTTCCTCCTGGAGAACAGCAACCAGCTGGTGCTGCAGCAAGCAGCCCTGCACAAGCTGCCCGGGCAGTATGCTGCACAGGCGCATGGACAGGGCTGCGCCCTGCTGCAGGTGGGTACAGCCCCAATCCCCACGCTGCTCCTAGCTCTCCATCTCTAACTCTCCTGATTTCCCCAGGTGACTGCGCTACAACGTGCCTCCCGCTCTGAGCACAGGCACCTTGAATCTACACGTGGAGACGGAGCCCAAGGAGAGCACCAGGGACGCCAGCGCCCACTTCAGCCTCGTCCTCTGGGCACGGTGTGCAGCAGGGCTGCGTTCCCAAAGCCCCTTTGCCCACTGTGGCAGGTTACAGGGAGGCTGGGGGCTCCCAGTTCGGGCAGGGAGGCGGGAGCAGCAGGAGGGTGCATGGTCCCTGCAGGCAGGGAAGGCAGGAAGGCAAACCCCAACCCTGACCCCAGTATGGGGCTCTGCCCTTGCAGGTACACTGGGGAGCGTCCCGCCACCAATATGGCTGTCATCGAGGCCAAGCTACCGTCCAGCTACATCCCCGATAAGGGCTCCATGACGGAGGTGAGAGCCCCTGGCTGTCCTAGGTATCCCCTCCCAGCGCTGCCCCAGGGCCAAGGCAGGCTACTGCAACACCCCCAATCCAGCCCACCTTGGTGCTGGGTCCTTGCTCTCCCCTCCAAGTACAGAGCAGCCCTTGCCAGGCCAGAGGGACACCAATGAGAAATGCGTGGCCTGACTGCAGGAAGCCCCCAGTACTTGGTAGAGCAGCCCCTCCACAGACTGAGTTGTTTGTTCCCTGCCCCCCCAGCTGAAGCAGCAGAAACTGGTGAAGAGGGTGGAAACCAGGTGACACTACCTGGACCAAGCGAGATGAGGGAGTGGGACCAGGACCCCAGCCCACTGGGGGGAAGCTGAGGAGGAATGCTGGAGTGTGGGGACATTTCCCCACCCTTTCCAGCTGAGAGGGCAGAGGCAGCTGGATGTGGTTATACCTCACCCTCGGGCTCCCTCCACAGCTGACAAAGGAGGAGGAGACCTTTGCCTTTTCCATGAGGCAGGACTTCCCAGCGAGGAACCTCCAACCGGCCACCATGAGACTGTACGACTGCTGCAAGATAGGTGAGCCCTGCCAGGGACTTGCCCCCCCAATTTGGGTGCTGGGAAGGGCCTGGCCCCACTGCTGCCCCTCCTCCCCCAACCTGGCTGGAGCCTGCACTGCTGCAGCCCTAGCCCCATGCAGACTCTGGTGCCCTAAAGGCACCCTTAGGACCTGATGGAGACTTGCGGGAGGCCCCAGCAGGTCCATGGAGACAGAGCGGCAGGCCTGACCTCTATGCTCATGAGGCCAATCATGGTTCATTATCCCAGTATAGCTCCAGGGGTACTGGTGATGCCCGGAAGCCCAGGAACAGCCCAGGGAGGCAGCAAGGAGAGGAATGGCTCCACAAGCAGAGTATGGAGAGGGGCAAGCATGAGGCCATACTGCCCCTGCCCTAAACGGGAGCTGGTGCCGAGACCGGGCCCCGTTCAGGCTATCAGTTAATACTGATGAGCTTTGGCCCATTAAGGGGAGCAGCCCAGAGGACAGCTCTTGTGAGCCCATGGGAAAGCACTGGACAAAGCGTCCCTCGTTGCAGGTGACCGCATGAATGCTGCATACTATGCACCTTGTGGCTCAGGTAGGGGTCAAACTGGGCAGGGCAGAGGGGCAAGCCTCACCATCGGGACCCCCAGGCAAGGATATGCCATCCCCAAAGGGGCAACCCAAGCTGTGCTGACCCTCTGGAGCCCAGAGGAGGAGGGCAGTGAGCAGTGATGGAGGAGCCAAGCCAGGAAGGGAACTCCCAGCTAGATCCATGGGGATCTGCTAGCCAGACATCGGGGTGGGGGGCAGGCTGCAGGGAGCTGGGGGTGCAGAGGTGCTTTGCTCCCTTTGAGGTGGGTGATGAGACAGACTGCGCTCAGACACTCAGCAGACTTGGCCTCCCTCTTTGCCCTCCCGCATAGCTTCTCTCCATGGGTTTGAGGTCACACAGGGATCCACCATGCAGGCACAGGCAGAGGAAACCTCATGGCGGGGGGAACACGTGGCCCTTGGGAAGGGGCAACAGGGGAACAAGGAGGTAATGGGATACAGAGCTCCCCGGGACGGCTTTGGAGGGACAGGAGCAGCCAGGGCGGCTGGGGGATGGCAGAGAGGCTGTTCTTCTCTCCCAGAACACCTATATTCAATTTGGAAGAGGCAGAAGCTCAGAAGGAAAACTTCTAGCGAAGCCTGACCCCGGCAGCTGGTCTTCCCCGCTCGCCCCGATTCCCTCAGCAGCACTAGCCCTGAATGACCAGGGCAGCTGACGGTCTCTGCTCCCACCCTGGCCACAGTATGGTCCTTCCATATGGGCAGAAAGCATCTCAGAAACGCTCACAGCACTGCCAGCGGCTGGCACAGCATGACAGGGCTCACTCCAGATCCAGCCCCTTCTCCCCCAGTAGCAGCCAGGGATGCAATCCCATTAACATGTTTGACTAGGCCCTACTAGGAGCTCAGCAAGGGGTGGTGGGTGATAGAAGCAGGTCCTGGCTTCGCCAGTGGAGAGGAGCAGCTCCGGTCGCCCTGTCCTGGGCCTGAACAGGTTTACTTAACCACATCTTTTCTTGGTGTCTTTCTTTTCCCTGCAGCCTGCACCTGGAGAGGGGGCAGGAAGAGTGGCAGGGGTGTTCCCTGCAGCCGGCAGGGGGGCTGGGGTACCTGATGTGGGCTATGTTTCCTGGGGGAAGGAGGGCAGAATTCACTTGTGGGAGCTTGTGGGCTCCTGGGGTCAGCTCGCTGCAGGGCAGGTTGGTCTCTGCCCAGCTTCTTTGCTCGTGATAAAATGACGTGGACTGAGGCAGTTTGGCTCCCTGAAGCATTAATAGAGAGGCACAGGACTGTCCCAGACACCCATAGGTCCTTCCTGTGCCTGCCAAATGGCACATGATTTGGAAAGGGATGTGGCAGCTTCGGAGTAGCCCCTCAGAAGCCGATGACAGCGCAGGCTCCTCACCTTGCCAAGACACAGGACACATCCTGGAGCATCCTCAGACCAAATTTTAATTCTGTTGCAAATGAAGACCAGTTCTGTGCAAAGTAGACTGCGGGAACTGACACCTGTCTGCCTCAGAGCTCAGCACCAACAGCCCTACACAGTCCTGGGTGTATGGAGTGGCTCTGGGGACCTGCCTGTCACCAGGACTTGGGTGATAAATACAGCCCCAGGAGCTAACTGCTCAGAGCCAAGACCCCTCCTGGGACAGCGAGGGCTGGCGTGGGCGCTCACTCCATCTCTGCAGCCCAAGAGTCTTCCAGCAATGTGGCCAAGCTGGGGAGGTAGCACGACTGTGGGGGACCAGGAGATGCTGCCATCCAGCAAGCACCTGAAGGGGGCTGATGCCACAGAACTGAGGCCAAATTAACCTACCCTGTCTGTCAGCACTACCGAGGACAGGAGGCAACGTCAAGTCAAGGCACTGAGGAACAGGAGCGTGTTGCTAGCTCACTGCCCCATCCCCAGAGAGAACAGCAGGGTGAGACAGGCTGCTTCAGGGGCTGTGGTTGGATCAGTGTCCGGTGGAGGGAGGGCAGGAGCCAGCCCTGCCCAGTACCCCTAGCCAAGTCCCGTGCCAGGGACAGAGTCTGTCCCACATCACTTACGGCGCTTTTTCTTCTGGTCTTTGCGTTTCTGAGCCCTCACATCCTTCTTCAAGCGGCTGTCGACAACCTTGAACTGGCCCTTGACCCCAGGAGGCCGGCGCACCCGGGGTCCTACGCCCTTCTTGGCCACCAAGTATGTGACCTGCCGTTTCTCCTTGCCCAGCCCAGCCTTCTTGTAAATGCTGCAGGAAGAGGGGGACAAGTGAGAGCCAAAACCCCAGCCCAGCCAGGAGCCGAGACACAGCAGGATCGTTCCAGGAGCTTGGCATCAGCATACATCCAAAGGCCAGTGGTGGGCCACAGGCTCTGCAGGGCAGCTGTACCCCAGGATGGGGCTCCCCAGGACAAGTACCCAGTTGCTCCCCTCCCAGCTTTCACTTACTCTCCTGCTCTGTTGTCCTGCTCCCTCCATCTTCCCAATCTTCAGCCTACCCCTAGATCTAGCCCAGCTCTCCCTGGCCCTGCTGGGTTATACCTAGGAGCTGCCCCCACACTGTGGCCCCAGGCACAGGGCCTTGCCATCCAGCCCAGAACAACCTAAAGCATCCGGATCCCAGCTTCACCACTCACCGTCGCAGCTGGGCCACTTTCTCTCGCTCTGAGATATCCACCGTGCTCACCACGGCCTCTGCTTTTTTCTTCATTTGCTCCATCTTCTTCAACATCTGCAGGGAAAGCAAAGGTCAGAGGCAAAGGAAATTGTGGGGACAGCACGCTCGGGATGCGGAGGATGGAATGCCTGTCCAGGACCACAGCCCCACTCACCCTCCGCTTCTTGCGGGCCTTGGCCTCTGCCACCTTCTTGATGGGACGGGCATTGATTTGGCGCCAGCGCTGCCGATACTCCTCTACTGTCTGCCGGTCTAGGGGTATCTGTTTGCGTCGGTGCTGCTTCTCCTCCTCTGTGAACCACTCAGGCAGTTCCCCCTCATCCTCATTGAAGGAATATCTGGGGGACAAAGGGACAGGCTGTGAATGGGGCATAGGGTCCCCGCCAGCTCCCTGTCCCATACCAATACATCTGCCACCCCCACTGCCTGTCCTGTCAGGGGACCGCGTGCGATTCCCCCTCTAGCACCCACAGTTGCAAGTACCTGTTGAAGGAGTCATCGATCAAATCCCGCCTGGCCTTTTTAGAGGTGGCGATGACTGAGCCGAGCGCCAGGCCCTCTGCGTCCAGGACGCGAGCTCTCCTCACTGCAGCACAGAGATGGATTAAAGCTTAGCCTGCCTGCAAGCAGCCTCAGATCGAGAGGCTCAGCAGTCGCTCTCCTTCCCAGCCCAGATACACAAGGCTTACTCCTGCTTCCTGTCCCCAAAGAGCGACTCATGGTGTTATCTGGTACACATGGGCCCAGACTTCGGCCCCACCCACCTGGGTCCTCAATGGGCACCACCTCGAAGCCACCTGAGTCAGCTCGGGCTCGCTTCTTCCCCACTGGTGTTGGCGGCCTGCGGGGAGAAGAGGAGAGCTGTCAGAACAGGGGTAGGGGCAGGTTGGGATCCCTGCGTCCCCCCTCTCCAGGGCTGTGGAACAGGACAGAGCATCCAGACTGCCCCTTTCCCATCCCTCACCTCTCCTCATCACTGCTGCTGTCATCGTCACTGCTCTCCTCACCCTGTGCTTCACCAGCGTCCAGTCTCGTGTCCACTGCGGTCTCGGGCTTGGTCACAGCTCCCTCCTGGGGAACCTTCTTCTGCCCTTTCCCATTCACCTTGTCTACAAAACAGGAGCCAGTGGGGGAGGGAAGGTGGAGGCGGACCCCACTCCAGAACTTAACCCCTTCCTCCAGAGACACAGCTTGTTAATGCTACACTAATGCAGGATCATTAACTGTACAATGTTACAGGCTGGAAAGGACCGCGGGAAATCTCCAGCTACACACCAGCTCCCCACAGAGGTTCCCAAGCAACGCAGCCCCCTCACTGACCTGTCCGAGACTTCCGCTGTCTCTCAGCCAGCATCTGTGACTGCCCCAGTTCCAGGTCCTCATCTGCATTGTCCTCGATGCCAGCAAAAGCATCCTGTGAATGGGGAACAGCATGTCTGCGGATGTAGGGCAGAGTTGGGGAGGAGATGTTGAGGCCAAGGCTGCACCATCGGTTCTGGGTCACTGGGACTCACCTTCCCAAACCACAAACTAGTCTGCCGTTCCTCCAGCACTGACTTCTCCTCCAGGGGCACCAGCAGGGGATTTTCCTCTTCCTCCTCTTTCTCCTCGAAGGTCACCCTGTGATAGACAGCAGCAGGATCAGTGCCCACAGCCAGGACAGAGTGTGCCCTCCCCTTCCCCCAGTCCCCAGAGCTGCTCCAAAGGGAACCCCTACCCCAGGACAGCGTCACACAGCTCTCACCTCTTTGCACCCTGTTCTCGCCTTTCCTTCTCCAGCTGGCGCTGATGTGCCTCTATCTCAACCAGCTCCTCTGGGTCCAGATCGCTGGCCAGGGATACATCATCTGCTTCGTCCCGATCTGAGAGACAAATATCATCGTCCCCAGGCCCCATCTCCAGGAGGGCGTCTGCTGATGCCATGTCCCCCCGGGCCACCTCATTCAGCAGCTGCGATATGAATGAAACAGTAGTCATGAGCAAAAGTCTATCTCCTACCTACCTGCCAACATCCCAGTTCCACCAGTGGCCCTAGGAACCTTCCCATTGTCCACATACCTGGGTCCTGTGGATAGTCTGGAGGGAGAACATGCTAGTGTCGCTCTCGTCGGCAATGGAGACACCGGGGAGGTCCATCTTCAACTCCACGCGCTCACGCTGCTTCCGCTGCTCCTTCAGGATCTTCTTCTTCTTCCTGGAGGAGATGAAGAAATGAGGCCACGCTGCCCGCCATGTCTCAGTGTCTCATTCCACCGCCACGTTGCTGCCAGACATCTCATCTCCCAGAACCAAAAAAAGGCCCGAGAGCACTACCATCCCACTGTGAGGGGTCCCCAACCTTGGGGCAAAGAGAGCCCACAATAGCTGGGAACAGCTGCTTCACCTGCTTGGAGGAGTAGATGGTCCCGACCCGAGATGCAGAGCCACCACCCCCTCTCTATAGGGGACAGGCCCTGACATTACTGCCCCATCCCCACACCCGGAGCCCTGCTACGCTATGCTGGCACGATGTTCCCCCAGCTCTCTTTCATGTCCGAGCAGTTTTCACCTCTTTAACTCTGCCAGCTCCTTGGCCTTCATCTCTGCCAATGCCAGCTCTACCTCCTCCTCTTCCGCCACCTCATCAGCCGTGGCTCTTGGGGACATCTTCTTTTCCTCCTCCTGGCCTTCCTCTTCTTCGCCGGAGCTCAGGCTACCAAAAAGAAGCAGAGCGTGTCTCTTCTGGTGGCAGCCCCAACCAACCACAGTGGTGCCTTGGGGCAGCCCTGGTTTCTCCTACCTGATATCCAGCTCCTTCGCCTGCTCTTTCAGCTTTTTGGCGAGGAAACGTCGCAGCTTTGTCCTCCAGTTCAGCAGAGCCCTGTGCGGGGAGGCAGCCAGTTAGAGACACCTGCCCAGGCCCAGCGTGACGCCCTTGCCCAGTCCCAGTCTCCACAGTACCTGAGCTCCTTGCGTCCCAGCACGCGGATGTCCTTGCAGCACTGACGCAGCTCCTCCGTGGTGGCACTGTGATTCTCCAGCTCACCATCCCCTAGCGTGATCTGGATGCAGCAGAGAAAAAGGGCTGCCACTCCCAAGCCACAGCCCCTGCCCTGCCTCCCTTTCCTCTGCACTAGCAGGGCTGGGAGCTACTGCTAGGGCAGCCAGCTGCCTTCTTTCGCTGCTCCGTGCTCCTGACGACCAGGCTCTGGGGCCACCAAGGTTTCTCTGGCCTCAGACACTCACCTCATTGGCCTTGGAGAGAAAGTCCACGGGGTTGGGAGCCTTGAGGAAGTCCATCAGGGTGAAGCGACGGTACAGAGTCGTGTCACCATCTGCATAACCTTCTGCCTACAGAAGAAGGGAGCCTTATGAGCCAGGCAGCTTCAACCATCCCCAAAAGTCAAATAATTTGCATCTACCTGCAGCATCCACCTAAACGTGCCCAAGTGACACAGGGACAAGGACAGGTTATGAGCCCTTACCACCTGCTGAGTAACAGGCCCAGCTCTAGGATGTCTCCTCCAGCCTCGACCTAACCTCAGGTGCAGAAAGGAGTTGGTGAGAGAGGCTTGTGAAGCTCCACTCCCAGTTGAAGTTGCCTGACACAACCACTGGTGTCCTGTGCCCCAAAGACATCTCACGGAGACATAAGCCCCATAGCCAACTACTGCACGGAATATGTAATACTGATCTATTCCCACCCAGGCTCATGGCTTGTTCACAGCTCCCCCACCTTCAACAGCAGTGAACCTCTCCATCATCCCTTCCAACCCCTGGTATCCTGGGATCTCTCGTTTTCCTAGACAGCTCTCCTGATTAAACATTTTTAATATTTAATGTTTGGCTCTGCTGCGCAGCAAAGCAAGTCGGCCAGATGCCCAACACCCTCTTCTCTCCTGCAGCTTTTCAGCTGCTCATGAGCTCCCAGAAGCCATCTCCTCCTTCTCCTCACAGACTTTGTCTAACTGCTGTCCCCCCAGGAGTTTTCCCTGCCAATCTGTCCCGTGAGGGAGCTGAACCCAGAAAGGCAGGTGGTTCCTCAAGACAAGTAGAGTAGGGAAAAGGGCTCCACAGAGCCAGACCCTCCCTCAGGCTATGGCTGTTCCCTTGAGTCCGTTCTTTGCTGAGGGACACTTAGTCTACCCCAGGAACGCACCATCCTCATACCTTTGGTTTCTTCTTGCTCAGCAGCTCACTCACGGACTTGGTCTGAACCTCCACCTCCTTGAAGGCATATTTCGGGTCAAAGAACTTGCTGTCAATTTTATCTGGAATGTGATTTGGTAAGTGGGTATTTCAGCAGGTTTCTCCCTGCCCTATCCCAGTGCACCAAGCTGCCAACAGCTGCAAGTATCCTCAGCTGCTCACCCTGGCACACCACGAAGATCTCAGCGGACTCATTGCGGGAGGCTTGGGGCTTGGTGGCTTGGACCTTGCGGAAGAACTGCTGGAAGATCCAGAGGAGAGGCTGGTAGTCCCGGGAGCGAAAAACCTTGGTGATGAACCAGCCGCCTTTGCAGAGAAATTCGCAGGCGAGTTTCAGGGCCATAAGAGTCAGGTTGGCTGAAGAGGGAGAAAGCAGCAGTCAACAGAGTTGTCAACTCCCCATCACCTAGCTCCTTGCTCCGCAACATGTGCCACCATCCACTGTGCCCTGCTGGGGCATGAGACGCACCCGCCCTTGCAACCCCTGGCAACTGCCCTAGGCCACACAGCAGCCCCGCGAGGGCCCTACCTTGGGAGTAAGCGTCGTGCACCCAGCTGGCCCCCACGTTGGGTGCTCCATCATTCAGCACCACGTCCACCTTCCATGTCTGCAGCTCCTTGCGCAGGGCCTGAGGGTCAGAAGTGCATGTTAGTCCTGCTAATCCCTGTCATTCTGCACAAGCCAGCAGGTAGCATCTCCAGTCCCCAAAAGCCCACGTTTCCACCTGCCTGCCAACCCAGACAGTCCGTTCAGCTGCCTGCCCCAGTCCTACCCCCAAAATGAGCCCTGACTAAGCAGCTAGGGTGACCTCCAGCCCAGACAGACCTGCTGAGTCCCAGATCAAGAGATGACACTTAGCAGGGTGGTTTTTACCTGGCGACACTTCTCAGTGGTGATGTCCTCCTGCAGCGTCACCACGTTGGGAATGGGTTTGATAGGGACCAAGTCCACCCCTGGTATAAGGAAGAGATGTCAACGTCGAAATTTTCCCCCCAACCTGGGTTCCAGCCTGGCTTCCCAGCTCACCCCTTCCGTGTACCAGGGCCCCCAAAGCACCCCATCCCTCAAGTCAGATCCAGGGACTGCGGAGGTGGTCCCTGCCCCAAGTCTCCCCTACGACATCCTTGACCACCCCTGCTCCAGCTCAGTGCAGGGTCCCACAACTCACCAATGATCAAGCTGGAAACAGGCATGAATTTGGAAGCCACCTGTAACCTGCAGAGAGCAGAGAGGGTAAAAGCTACGGCAGGATCCCATGAGAACCACCAACCTTGAATCATGCTGCCTAAGGCTTGGGATCTGCCTTGGGATCTGCGACATTCCTCTGGGCGAACTGCCTAGGCAGGAAGTATAAAAGCCAGTTCGCTACAAGGTCCCAGCTATCCAAATCACCAGACTCCTACCTTCTTTGTGAAAGCCTTTTTCACAGGCACCCTTGAGTCAGGAATAGGTTAGCTATCCAGATAGAATAACTTGGATAGCCCCCATCTTGCCATGCGGGGGAGCCACAAAGGCTTAGGGCTACTCAACTAACAGCACACACAAATAAAATGATCACTAAAGAGTACTTCAGTCTGCACTACTTAAACACAGCCCAGACACTGAGCCTCCTGCAAGTAGATGCCTGTTGGCTTATGGCTCAGAGCCCGTGGCAGTAGGGGGCATTTCAGCGGCTTCAACAAGAAGTAATCATGTTTCTCATCAATTCCCCCAAAGCGACAAGGTATCTGGGGCAGGTGGAGCACGTATAACTCCAGCTGCAGCTTGTGCAGACCAGCTTTCAAACCGGAGCCAAACGAGCGTGTTCCTCTGGGCTCTGGCTAGTCTGGCTCACCCATGCACCTCCAGGAGGGAGGCCCATGGGGTAGCCAGGCCTGGTGTGGGGCAGCTGGAGATGTTGGGCCATGGCTCCGGGCCTGGCGACACTCACCACCCACCAGGGGCTGCACATAGGTCCAGCAGTGCCCGGGCCTTTTGCAAGAATTGGAACTTCCTATTGAGCTGGAGAAGTTTGAAGGAGGAGCGGGAGCGAAAGCCTGCAGAAAGAAGAGTGAGGGGTTACAGATTACTGGGAGTTATGGGTTTGCTCCTCTCCTCCCGACAGCGCGCAGGCTCCACTTACCCGTCTCCTTGGCCAGGTGGTAGAACTTGTCCCGCCGACTCTTGCCTACTTTGCTCTTCTTGCCCATGGTGGCGTCAGGCCGGGACCCCGGTGGGGCTGGGAGCTACGGTCACCTCTGCGCACGGACCTGCGGGGAGGCTAACGGGCTGAGCTCGGGGCGGCAGGGCCAGGAGGACCGGCCCGGGGGCCCCCCCCCGC